AGAAACAGCTGACCAGTTACAGTTAATATCTTCAGAGACTCGAGGCAAAATGTCTCCCAGGTAAATTCTTTGTAATTTGGATATGAGGATTATCCAAATTGACATGTAAGCTCAAAATGTCAGCTTGCTGGGTTGTACATTTAATCTTCTGCTCATTAACTGTGATCTTAGGCAGGTTATTTCACCTATCTGGTATCAGTTGAAATGAAAAAAAAAAAAAAATGATTATACATCAGATGATCAAATGTATGTTAAATACTGAGCAAGATCACCACCATATACTAAATACCCATGAAATGTTAGTTGTAATCATTTGGTCATTATTAAGTGTAAATTTACATATTTTCTTGAAAAGTTAAAAAAAAAAAGGCAAACCTATGAAAGCAGGCAGTTGAATGGGAAAAAAAAATTAAATGATTTGAAAATGGGGAAATTTCCAGTGGAAAGTAAAAGCATGTTGGGGAAAATGTTGATGGACCAAGTGACAGCAGGAATAATTCAGGCTCATGGGGGTAGGAGCGGAGAGAAACAGAACCAGCAACTGAGAGACCCTGAATGCCGGAATATGTCAGACTTCCTATTCTGACACCTTGGCACCTGGAGCCTCAGTGACCTTGGACTAAGCACTTCTTAGCTATCTCTAGAGGACTTGGCTGACAGCACTTTTCATTTGCAAACTAACCAACCCAGAGCCCACATCTGTGTGCAGGTCCTCTACCAAGCCGCATACTCCGAGTCAATATTCCCCTGCCATAAGCATCGCAGGACCAGATAACAGACAACTCAGGACAGTCCTGCTCCACCAGAGCCCACTGAAATTATGCATCCAATCCCAAATCTGCCTCACCTGCTCCTTCCCATGGAAACCACATCTCCTTCACTCCCTCTGTCCCCTGACTGATCCTAGTGTCCCTGCATTACATGACGGGTGGTTAATTTTATGTCAACTACTTGTGGACACAGTGCATAGACAGGGGTCAATGCACTAGTCATTGTCAATGACTAGTCAGTTAGTCAGGATGGACCCTGACTAATACACCTGATGTCACATCCCCTCCCCTTGGGAGCTGTGATTATTGAGCTATCTTTTTAATGGCAAGTGTCTCCTGTTCTATAGAGTTCATCATACCTGAATTTAACAAAATCAAATCAAAAGAACCAAAAGGAAAATGCCCACATTTTAAAATAACCAGGCAGAAAAGTATAGTTGCTTTCATTAGGAAAGGGCCAGCTATTAGAAATTTTAAGCAGAGGAGGGACATGTCGGAAGGCTTTCTATAAAGTTGTTTACTATCATTACGGAAAAATCTACTAAAACTGAGATGAATTTGTTTACTTTCCTTTCCCCTTCCTGACTCACTCTTTCCTCTCTGAGTCTAACTTCCTAATCAGCATTTGGAGCCCATTTTGAATACTCTCCTATAGGCATTCTCCAATCTTTCAGGTCAGAAGTAATATTTCCTACTTCTGTGTTCCCATTATGCCTTACTTACACCATAGTGATGGTATTCATTCCAATTTATCATGGCTAATTGGATACATTTCTATCTCCCTTCCTGAAGACTAATTCCTCTTTCTGAGGCCAGGATGGAGTCTTACCCATCTTGGTAAGCTCAGCTCCTAGCAAAGCCTTCAGCATAGTCAATAAAAGCTCAACTGAGCTACTCGTTGACTTAGAGGGCAGCACATAAGCACAGAGGTGACTACAGTATAATTCCCTGACCTAGAGATGTGGCAGCAAGGATTGAAAAGTATTTATCAGATACATGAGACATGCACCATGTGGCACCTAGACCTGAGCTAAAAAGGCAAGAAGTTTGTCCCATTTGGTTGTTGACACCAAAAAGGTGGCTCATTCACATCAAATGTGCCATAAGTATAAAACAATCTTAGTGTTTCAAAGACAGGGTATAAATAATGTGCAATACCACCTTAAAATATTTCCTACTGATTCATCTTAAAACGATCGTGTCTTAGATGAACCTGATTAAATAAATTATATTTTTAAAAATTATTTCACATGTCTCTCTACCTTTTCTAACGTAGGTATTAGAAAACTTAAAACAACAAATGTGGCTTATATTTATTTTGGATGACTGATCGAGGGAATTTGGCAATTAACTGGATATGTAATGCAGGAATTCTAATTCTGAGGCCAAATTAGTAGAGAAAAGCTTGTGCTTAAAGAGAAATAAGGCAATTAGGTAGACACCCTGGTTTAAAATGTAACTATGTTGAACTGGAAGGCAGTAGGACCTATCAATCAGACACGTGTAATTGCACAGGGCTCATTTGGCGGGCTCTCGGCAGCAAAACAAATGGAGAAGCAGTAGAAAGTAGCAGAGAGAGGCTAAGACTACGAGCGCATCAGTCTAGTAGTTCTAGAATTACTGCAATAGGAGTTCTAAAAGGAGAAAATAGCCAAGAGAAAGAGCGCAAGAGAGCGAGAGATTGAGAGAGATCAAAAAGGGAGGGAGAAGAAAAAGAAAAAGAAACAAACAGGTGACACTGTCTCTATGACTGAAGAGACAGGCTGGCCTACAGGGGCTGTCAGAGCCCACATACCTGCTGACCTCATGCTGTGGCTCTAACCTGAATGCTGTCTCCCAGGTGGACCTAGCTCAGGGGTTGGCTTGCTTCATTTACCATGACCAGAGGACGAGAAGTTATTTCTTTCTTCTTTATTCAGCTCCAGAAGCCCACTCTCCTGGCCATATTCCTGTTGGATGTCCAGTGTGGGGTCCATAACAGGACCTCACCAGATACCCCAATTATGGCGAGCACCATGTTTCCTTCTTTGCCTTCCCCCAGGAAGGGCTTTCAAAACTGTTAAGGAATTAAACCCAACCTCTCACCCAAAGATCCTCTTTTCTCCTAGAACTACTGCCCTTTCATTATAAAGTTACATTTGAACTTATTTCTGAAGTTTAACACATGTACTTGATAGAACACACTGAAGAAAGACAGGGATAGAGTTAACACAGAAGTCAGGACAGTGGCTTCTCTGGGAAAGAGTAGGGAATATGATAGAGCAGAATTTAGGATCTCGCATGCATTTAGTGGCAAAGTAAAGTGCAGTTTCATTAAGTGGTAGAAATGCAGGTATTTACTTGATTATTGTTTAATTAGTACACATAGATTTAGTATATTCTTATGGGACATAAACTGTTTTAGAGTCTGACCACCTAACTAACATTTATCACAGTAGTATAATTCAACATTGGGAAATTAAATGCTGCACTCCATTATTTATTTGAAAATGATGGGAAGTCACTGTTTTTGCTAGATGGGGACTGCACTCATCAAGGAGCATGCTCATTGGTGTGGTGGAAATGAATGCCAAAATGCAGGATTCATAACCTGGTGAGGCGGCTCAGAGGTAGAGCATTTACCAGCAGGTGTGAGGTCCTGGGTTCAGTTCTGAGTGACACTCCCCCCAAAAAAGAAAGAAAAGAAAAAATAGAAGATAAAATGTTAGACAGTAGACATGGAAGAGTCTATTATTGTTCCAAATATTCCCATTGTCCAGCACTATGAAAGGGTAATGCTTCCCATTCCATGGTTTTCATTCTTGGCCGAAACTTGTTTTGGCAATGGAATTTAAAAGGGAGTAGCGTGTGCCACATTTGCACATAACCATAACATCACATGATGGCTCTGTCGGCCATGAGGTCAACACAGCCCAACTCTTCAAACAGCTGCTCTTCCAGTCCGGGCCCAGCACTGCAGCTGACCAACAGAGACGATCAACGGAGCAAGAAATAAAGCTCTGTTGCTGTAAACTGTGGTTGTTTATTAGAGGAAGCTACAATAATACATCATTGTTCGGTGAACTTTCCAGTGAAAGAAAGGAGAAAACAGAGGTCTAAGGTGACAGCCTGGGATGGAAGGGTGTGTTTCTCTACGTCAGGCCTGGGTATGTTGATAGGCAGAGCTGAATGTGGAGAAAAACTAAAAGAATCCAAATTAGAGAGGAGGATGGCAGTGCGCAAGGTGTCATGGGCTAGGGAACAGTCAGAGATCAGGAACACGGGCAAAGGCCGCTCCTCAGGGATGAGTGAAGGCTGCGTCAGAGAGAGTAACAAAGGGAGATAACTGTAAAACCTGAGTTAAAAGGAGGAAACTGAAGCACGTGGGAGAAAGACAGTCCCAGTCTCTTGAGAAGGTTGGAAGCGAGAACAGTTACAGGTCCTGAGAGATGGGCGTGGGGTGAAGGAGGCGCTGGTCTAGAAGAACCGGAAGACAGAATCCATGTGCACAGCAGCGTTTCCCTCCCTGATACTCACTGTGACTGTGTACCCCGCTATCTGCTAATAATCACAGAAGTCGATTAAAATAATATCGGTTTTGTATTTACGTAATGGAATTGAAGGAGGATGGATTTCTAGCAGCTCGAGCCTGTGTAAAGTTCACCTGGCCTTACAGTTATATTTTTCAATAATATTTTCAGGAAATGATTTCAGGAAATAGTCTGAAAAGACACTGAAAACTTTTTTCTAGGTAATATACACTAATTTGACATGCATCATTAAAAATCAGATTTGAGAAGATACATTATAATTCCTGGTATATTTAATTCCCCAAATTTTCACAAATTAAATGCTAAGGTATTTTGTATGGGTATTTTAAAGGAAATGGGTATAGTTTAAACTAGATTTGATCACATGGTTGAGAGGCTCCTGTCAATTGTACTAAATTAGTGACTCAACTGAACTATTCAGATCTTGAGTTTCAGATTCCTTTCAACTTATAGTTATGGGGCCCGGGATGTAGCTCAGTGGTACAGCGCCTGCCTGGCAAGTGCAAGGTCCTGAGTTCAATTCTTGGTACCAAAACAAACAAATAAAATATAAACTTATAATTATACTTAGATTACTATTTTTCTTTATGCAAGGCATTTTGCATGTTACTTTCCTCCAAATCTTCTACAAATCTAAAACTCTAACAGTGCAATATAATCTACGTTAAATTAATAAAAGAAAAATTTGTTTCATAATCACCTTGGTAAAGAGAGGTTCTAAGCCATTTGGAGCCGTGGTTGGACGAAGTCTCCTTCTTCTCCACATCTCTGATTTGCTTTCTCGGACAAGCTTTCCATTGGGGGGCGGAGGTGGCGGGGGAATGGGTATCCTGCAGGTGTCAATGCTTGGAAACTGATACAGATTCACTTTCTGTGATTTTTCCGTGGAGTTCCTGAACTTCCTCATTACCTTCTTGCCCTGTAATCACATTTGGTGATGTAAGAACCACTGAAGCTATCGCAGGGACCCAATGCAACCCGATATTTAGTAAGACAAGCCTGACACTGAAAGCAAGCACAGCTAATAGCAGGAGACAAACCCAGAGCACTCAGGTCTGCTGAAAAACGGCATTGAGTCCTAGCCATAGAAAATTGAATATTTATCAATTTCTAACCTTGTGTAGTATACTTCAGCCTACATATAGTAATGATACTTTTAGAGCATTTTGGGGATTTGTCCTCAACAGTCTATCAAATCCCTGTGGAGTATAATACAACTAAATGATTAAAATCAAGAAATCTGTAATGTTGTAAGTAAGGTTGGATAAAACACTTAGCAATATGGAGTCGATACTGTTTTTTACATTCTGATTTCACTCATCCAGATGTAAGAATGCTAGTATCAGCAAGGCAGTGAACAAATGGCAATCTCATGCACTTTTTGAGTGAATTACTTCAATCTTTGCAGAGGGGAAATTGGGGTATTTATCAAAATTTTAAGATGCCTGTATTTTGACCTAGAAAGCCTACTACACAGATAACTACACAAGTACACTAGCATAAATGTATATAAGGAATAGACACACATGTACATGCACAAACACATATGCTCACAGAAAACACATTTAGTTGAATCATCAAAAAGTTTTAAAAGTCCATCAATAGGGACATAGTTAATTAAGTTTTGGTTTGTTTGTATAAAAGATTCACACCAGGCTATAAAGAGAAAGCTGGGAAACCTTTTGATTCCAGCATAAAATAATAAGCATGGCTTGGTCATATATATCTTTTGAATAATTTATATGTGCATTTTAACTAAACACACTATAACTGGAAGAACTTGACCATGGGGTTACCAGTGGGGGTACACCTCATGTTTCTTTAATCAACTCTAAACATACAATTAACAATTACATTATGTTTGTGAATATACACGAGTCTCCAAATTTTCACAAATTGGCAGTTTTTGTGTAGCTGAGATAGTTTTTCAAGTTTTAAGGAATGTTTACAGACTTCTGTCCATTTTATACCAATGTATATATTTTATACTTATTTATTTTTCTAAATTATAATTTATATCATACTTATATTTTTACTTATAAGTTGACTCAATTTTGAACTTCTTTTGAGATGCTTAATAGCTAAAAGTTGTTTGTAGGACAGGGAAATTATTCTCCAAACATCTTCATTGTTAAATAAGTACAAAAGGTTAAATTTATATGTATAGCCCAACTCTTGATAGAAAACATTTATGTGAATGGAAAAGGATTTGAACAGATATTCACCGAGTAGTCTACTATTATGAAAATGGTTGACTTTGCATCGTGTTATGTTCTAATTTTTCTTTGCTTACATTTTCAATTTTTTCTGTAATAGGCTGCATCTACATTGGAATTAACAAACAATAATAAACGAAAATAATAGGAACAATAAGGTCAGTGAATCTACAACTATTAGGGCTTGGAGAATTTTTTGAATGTATTTCTGACTAGGTATTACTGAATTTCTGACTAGGGGTTAGGGAATTTCATGACTTCCTTGGAAATGGCTTAATCATTTTTTAAAAAATTGATGTATTTTTCTTTGCTGCTTTAGATTATGGCTTCTTAGATACCAATCCATACTATTACTGATAATTTTTAAAATACACTTTAGTATACTATAATGTTTTTAATTAATACTCTTATGTACTGAAATTTCTTCAAATTGTTCACTACTGCAAACAGGACAGTATAAAATATCCTTGAATTTATTCTTCAAATAAATTCTTATATGTTAAAATGCTTGAGCACATTCATTTATATTGCTAGATACTCCCAATGTTCCCTTTACAAATAGTTGTACCAATTTCTACTGCTGCCAACACTGGATAAGAAACCCTCATTCTGAGGATATTCATTTTTAGCCATGTGATTATTTTTACTTGCATATCAACCAATCCCTTTTATACCAAATCACTTTTGCCTAGAAACTCTTACTCTGGCTCCAAAGCAACAGCCAACTTGCTTTTATCTATGGCGTCTACAAATCCTTCCCACACAGATCCTGTACTCTTTAAAAAGTAATGATAATGTAGCAGGCACTTGCTACACACTTAACAATCATTCAGACAACTATACTTCATTAGGAATTTCCATCCTGATTTTATTTTAAAACATTTTCATCATCAATGCCACTGGAAAAAAAATAGCAAGTCTTTTCTAGCAATACATTTTGCTTATGTGCTTTACACTATAAACTCCAGTAAGCTACTTATGCTTCCCTTTGTAACTGATATATCACCAGTACCTCACCCATAGTAAGAGCCTAATAAATACATACTTAATGAAAAGTGAGTTTTGCTACTTCAAACTAACATGGAATTGATCTCAATTTGTCAGCACTTACGAGCTACCATTAAATGCTGATCATTCAATAACCCTCACTCCAAAAACTTGGAAACAAGAAAATAAATCCCTACATAGATTGAGTAGCAAATCTATCTAATGGCTTAGAGTAGATTTGGAAAACAAACTGAAAAGAAAACAAAACATCACTCCCTGTCCAGCAGAACTTGGATATTAGTAACTTGATAATACTGACCTATCTAAAAAGGAAATGTACCATTCAAAGTAGAATTAATAATTATTAAAGTTGGAAAAAACATATAATCACCTTGGCAAACACGGAAAGTACTCATTCGAGTACTAGCTGGGGAAGAGGAAATCCTACCCATTGGACTTTGAATATTTCTAGTCCTAATGGCAAAGTTATCCCTGGAAGACACAGGAGATCTTTGAGTTTTCTGGTCCTTTAGGCAAGCCCATTCCCAAGATGAGATGGGTGCCCCATGACCTCGAAGCCTGGTCCCATCAACATTCTGTTCATCACACCACATCACCTCATTCTGATTCCATGCTCATTGTGACTTGGCTTCCTATGTGCTCTGCCTAAGAAAGAGGCACTTCTATAAGCCGTGACTGCTTGATATCTCTTGAATTAATGGCCCCTGGTGATCACATGCTCCCTATTTTGATTTCCTGTTGTTAGTTATTTTAGAGAGCTTGAGACAATCCCACTGCATCAGACCATTCCTGCACACTGCTGAAATGGGAAATCTGTGTTGGGGCCTTAGATTGGAGACTAGATGCTAGAAAGTGCCAGAATAATTACCTTATGACCCAACCAATTCCTGTCTAACTCTGAGCAGTTTTCTAAAGACAAAGAGCTGCCACTTTTGGATTAATTTCTCCTGCTTTCTAAATTAACTGAAATAATGTTTGTGAATAGTGCTACACAAGCTGAAAAGCACATGAAATGAATTAAACTATAGGTTATCCTTTTGGGGGTTATATTTAGACTTTTACTGTGAAACACGATCATTTATTTATCTGAATGAATGTCTTTGTGTCAAGGTTATCTGTTAGCTAAGGATAAAAATATCGTAACCTTAATTTTACATGTCTAGGGTAAGAAATAGAGCATAATTCATCCCTTTCCAAGTCACAGCAATGATGCTCATGACACGGTTCCTTCTTTGGCAGGCAAATGTTTCTTCTTCACGTTAGAAACACAAACAAAACCTTCGCTAGTTAGTGATGTCCTAATTATTCTTCCTTGCTTAAGTAACCCATGTTTCACAGTTACCATCCCTTCTTCTGGTGCTGCATTTAAATAAGTGAGAATTGCCCGGGACATAACCTTGAAAGGAAAGCAGAGGTGAGCTCCCGGGTATGATTAACTCAGCATTTTTAAAAGATGGACATTTGTTTCCTTCTATATTCAGCCGTCCAAGAGTCAAACTTGAAGCAATTTCATACACTGATGGAAAAGTAACTCAGCATGCAAATGCAAACCTATTCTGAGAAATTTTCATTTTCTAGACTTCATACATTTAAAATCTGGAGAGTTGAAACTGAGTCATTTCTGATAGAAGACATGTATGGCTATAAGGTCTTTCCTCTTTGTTTTTAAATTAGCCTTTCAACTTAATAAGAAATCACCATAAATTATTACAAATCTATTCCTTACCCTTTCCACTCAATAACACAGATTTTCTAGGCCTTCCAGTTAGAGTAAGATATAATTCATCAGAAGTACACAGTAAGTGCTTAATAAACACATAGCAGAAAATTAAGCCAGTGGATTAATTGAATATAACATCTTATATTAATTGTGTTAATATTATATTAACATATTAACTGTGATGAGCCAATACTCTGATGACGAATGAAAGTGTTTCTCAAAAAATAACCTTTACCCCCATGGGAAACAGAGCTTCGTTTTCCAGCAGTGAGGTTTTTGATCTGGATCCCGAAGTTAGCTTTGGAACTGTCCTCACTGCAGGATTACTGGGAAGCGGCTGTAATCGAATTGGAGGCTGCATATTTCCTGGGGCGGTGTATGGTCGAGGAGATGTCTAGACAATGAGGGGAAAAAATTCCATTTAAATTAGTATCTTGACATGTTTCCAGAGCCAATTAATAACGCAACAAATTGCCTAGAGTAATTAATGGTGCCTTTTTATGGAACAGATTAAACTATAATTACGTCCTTCCATTATACATACCCTCATGACCCAAAGTATTTGTTAAAACATATGGTGTTGGAGTCCTCTACATAACTAAATGCCACAATTATAGAGTATTCTAGACAAAGGAGATGTCCTCTATTACATCCCTGTATTTTTATTCATACTGTAAACTCACTGACAGTACTTAATTTATACTGTGCATAGAATGGCTTTGCTCATTAAATGTTAGGTTGAATAATGTTCCTGTTTTAGAGATCTAAAAGGATACTGTAATGGACTCATTTCTGTTTTCATGTTTTCAAAATAAATTCTACTCTGTATGCTTCAAGCCTTCAGATTGGTGCTGAAGTAAAAGCAGACAATAGGCAAGGCAGATGCTTAGGTATAATGTATTACCATTTATTCAACTGCTTCCTTGATATATTAAGAAAAAAATGAAAAACTTGTAACTGGCAACTATTTCCCATTTATCCCCATAGGTCTCCTATTCACCTGCTTGGCCTTGTTCTGGACATTTACCAGCTAACCTCAGAACTGCAGCTTGGATTTCACCAAGGACAGGATGATAATAAAATTGGGGCTTTTACTCCCCTGGACTGCCCCCATGGGCTGCGGTGGGTCAGCCAGGTCCCTTCACCTAAGTCCACCGCTGCTGTTGGGAAGCCTTCTCTCAGCCACAGGTAGTATCTGCTGGCTGTGGAATCCCCTCCCTCTCCTTTTCCCTTAATCCTATGGGCTGTGGATTTTCACTGTGCTGACCCTAACATGCCTAACACCCCTAGTTAGTTTTTCTTAACCTTGCCTGCATCTTTGTAAATAGTTTCTTTATTAAACACTTCCTAATTACTCTATTTGTGTGAGCCATCTGTTCCCTGCTGAGCTCCCGACTGAGACATTTTCCAATCAAGGCTGCACCGCAGTGAACACCGAAAGTGCCAGCATGGAGCATCAGAAGTGCCTTTTGGGGGCATCAAAAAATATTATAACTTTAGTATAAAGATTAGCAATGTGTCAGAAGTGAGGAAAGGAAGGAGGCTTGTGATCCAGTTGTTCTATTATAATAAGATAATAGAAAACTTGTCAAGAATAGGACGTGCATATTTGGCTAAGAGGGTATGAGAAGGATGATATATAAATGATTCATGAACAAAGCATTGTATATCAGCTCAAAGGAATGATAAACAGCAAATATTTCATCCTGGAAAGGCTGTAAAAATATTTTAAAATGTTGATAAGGTAGCTTGTACTCCCAAATACTAGCCTTAGTACTTGAGAAACATGTTGTCCATTGTGAAATCTCTGATTTTTTAATTCAGTATTAACTGGATTCCCAAGATAAAAAGGAATTAATAGTGACTGTAAGAAAATTAGTGTCAAATGAACCATACAAATACTGCCAAAAAGACAACAAATTACCTGACAACAAAACTCAGAATTAGAGGTCTTAGAATACTTGGAGTAAGCCAATGCAGCTAACTAAATTCAAGTTTCACAGAAACAGATTTTATCCAAATGGTTAAACATGTGATGAAAATAGACATTCAGAGAAGAATGGTAAACTTGAACACCAAAGTACAGCCATTTGTGAGCAAGATACAAGAAGAGCAGCAAACACCCCCATTATCGATTTTTCTTTTTCACTAGTAATAGAATTTTTATCTGGGAATGTGGCTGTCATAAATAAGGGTTATATTTCCCAGAATCCCTTATAACTTGTGTAGATGTATGCCCCATGTTCACCAGCAAGATATGAGAAGTGATACATGAAACTTCTCCTTAATGCCCTTTGAGAAGTGTGCCCTTAGATTTTCTTTTCACTTTTTCCCTCAGGTGGAAGTATTCATATGGTGATAAACCATTTGGTGTATGTGGATAAAAGCAACACCTTAAGTTGGATAGATGAATAACACAAAAGGAATACATGTTGTTAATTTCCTAGAACAAAAATGGCACACCAGCTGCATCATAAGTGTGTGTTGGCACTGGGAGAGGTCCTTATGTTTAATCCACATACAAACCTATGTCACAGCCAGCCCCAGTGGATTCACTACAGTGGCACATGATTTAAAGTAACAAGATATAACCCTATAGGGACCAAAAGGTAAAGGTTTTTAAAATCCTCAAAGAGAAATTAAACTAGAGTTTTCTGAACAAGGGAATCAGGTCACCCAAAACAATTGTCTGGAACTCAAAAACAAACATGCCTTAAGACTCCCTCTTTTCACCTAATCTAGCTGAACACAAAAATATGAAAGATATAATGTAGGAATTCAAGAAAGCAGGTTACTGCAAACTAGAACATGATCTATTGGCTGTTATGCTCTAAATTTTACTTCCGTGCATTTGCATACAAATATCATTCAGTTAGATGAATGTGGCAGTCAAATGTTTAACTGATTACATTTATCTCTGAAAACAAATCTGCACCATTAACTAACAGCTGTGAGCTCCAAACTGTTGTAGTTCACATCAGAAACTACCTTAAATTTGCTATATTGTAAATTGTTTGGAATATATTCTCCTGGAATAGCTATGGCACGAGAGCTGTACCAGAATGTGAATTGACCCTGACTACCTGCTGCTTATTCAGTTGAGCTGAGCATTTCTAATTCCTAGAAGACATTGAGAGGTGAACTTTCCTAGAATGTACAGAATTAGTTGAAAGGGCTCTCCCCAGTTTTAATGGTAGTGGTTCAGTTAAAAGCCTGCATGGTATTTTGAAGGTTTAGGCGCAGTTAGTGACCAGCTATGCTAAGGTTGCGTCGGTTGCTTTCTTTATTCACTTGAGAATTTTCTGTGATGGCAGTATCCTATAAGGATTTTTATCTTCATCTCACTTGGGGTAAGGAGTGACATTTAAAAGATGTGTATCCAGGTTAAGAAAACAAAAAGAAAGGTGCTTTGATTTTCTGTAAAATGGAAATACAACTCTAAGACCACAGTAGCTACCCCTTTAGGTGCCAGAGTGACACAGGGGGTGGCCAAGTGAAGAATCCAGACTTATCACAGAGAAAGACTTGTGAAGTGCTAGTGTCAATGTTTCCTGTAATTTTTAAATTACTTTCTCACTCCTGCCACATTAAGATCTCCTGGATGTATCATAAACTATTTATTGAGGGTATTCAGCTGGAAAATTGAAAAGAAAGCTTTTAAAGGGTTTTCTCTTTCCGAAACAGGTGGTAAGACAGAAAACAGTACTTAATTGTTTCTCTTGTTTCACCTGGGTTAAGCTTTTGAGAATCTAGTGAATTGCCAGCCAATAAAAGAATTATTTGTTTATTTATACACATAAATCAAACAAGGAAATAGAGTAACAACAAAGGAAAGATGGCTGCTGTCATCACTTGAGCTGTTCTTCAGGAAATATCAAAATATATTTCCCTTTGAGAAAATGTCAAAGCTTAACGCTCTGTATGATGAACCTACTGCAACATTCTGTGAAAAGCTTTGTAATTTCTCTATAAATATTATGCAACACAATAAAAGGGTTCATGTTAACAAGGAAATACATTAGGTTATGCAAAATAAGAATAAAGATGTAACCAGGCAATTCAGTTATAACTTAAACCACCAGCCTCCAGGAAATATTTTACAAATCTTTTCCTGTAACTATTGTTTCAAGGTGCCTCACCCTCTTTTGGGTAAATATCACCTACCTCTAGGTTATACATGTATCAAACTGGAATAGCAACCAATCTCCAATTTCTTCAAAGAGAATTTCTATACATTTGATTACACTTTTAATAAAAGAAGTCCAAACTTTAGTATCCAGCCAACATGAAGTATGGTACCAAGGGATTTGCACAAATAAGGTGGTAGTAGAGGGAAGCACAAGAACAAAATTTAGTGATCAAAACTGCAGAACGTGGATGAAACAACTCACGGTTCAACCTTCCTGTGCTGTAGGAGGCTTAAGAAACAAATGGAATGCGACACTGCAGTAGCTATGCTGAGATCATACGGGTTAGAGCAGTGGTGGCAAACCTGTGGCACGCATGCCACCGTATGCTGTGTGTGTCACTGAAAGCTCCAAAAGGTTCACTATCACTGGTTTAGGGTTTCAAACGTTACGTGAGATAGTCTGTGCTTTTCCTTAAGCAATGCAGAGCCAGGGAAGATATCAGGTCATTCAAATAATGTAAGTAATCTGCACCTCAAGAAAGCTGATCTAAAGGTAGCAAGAAAAAATGGACGTGGCAGGAGTGATTTTGATTGGAGAGGAGACATGCAGTTGGGACAGTTGCCCAGACAGAAGTCTATGGCTCTTGTTTATTCTTAAGAGTATGTTTTCATTCAGCAGAATTCACATGATCATGCAGGCATACTCTCAGAGAGTGTTATTTCTGAGATTAGTAGAAAATCACAAATTAAGTGGTGGGGGCTGGTAGTACAACTCACCAGTGTTGAGGGACTGGAATGTCCTTCATTAACCAGAATACTATGACCACGGTGCATCTTTGGGCCAATGGGGGGGCGAGGGGACAGGATTGGCATATTATTTTCAGCAGATTGCCTTGTGAGCTCCCCCTGGAACAGGCAAAAGGTTTAGTGGATATATGCATGTGATTGTTAGTCACTTGGGCTAGGTTGGTATACAACATAGGTTCAAGATACACTATGAAACCAAAGACTTCATTAATCTGCTTTAAACTGATCACTACGGAAAAACAAAGGCTGCTCACTAGTCTGATCAGTAGAGACTATCAGGAAGTAGTACTGTTTCTATTTTAGAAATAATTTAATAATGCCACTAAGCAAAGAGGGTTGCCTATGAAATAAAAGGGACCTAAAACATTTTTCTGCCAATTACAGTTATGTAGTGAAAAGTATGACAAATAAAAATCCTACAGGAAGGGACTGGACAACTACAGTGAGTCAAGACTATGCCAAGGCTGTAGTCTCATGTGTGCACAGGTTACTGTGCCTGGCCACCTGGCAAGGAGTGGACAAAACACAGGCATGCAGCAACCTGGCTTCAAATATTGCCACTCACGCTTTGTGTCCGTTAACTATTTTCCCCCACCAACACCACAGCAGATGAATGATTGAGCCAGTAACTCAGACCTTGATATAGGGCAACATCAGCAAAGCTGAACTAATCTTCAATATTTACAGGCCAACTCTTCTGATCTCTAGAAAAACTAAGCTATCTTCAGTCACTTAACAGCATTTCTGTAACAAGATTATCTTCTGACCCTAATGAAATAAATTTGAGTCTATCAGGCAAAAGGGAAGAATTACAGTTTTAAATGGCAAGTGGTTCTATGGAAGCTTTACAAATGCTCATCAGTTTGTGAAACATGTCACAGGTACCACATTTGTAATACTGCACTGAAAATTAAAGGCAACGTGTGATTTTGAATGGCTCAAGAAATCGAATAAAACTGACAGACTAACCTGCAATCTTTCAAACATGCCTAATTGAATCTCTCATCGCTTGATTCAAATTTATGTATCTCATAAGTTCACTTCAAAGAAGGGATATCGTATACAAAAATAGAACAGAAGCAAGGGATTTGAAAATGCTTAGGACAAAATGCCTTAAATCTAATTTTGCTTTCTTTTCCTAAAGAGGATCGTTCCCACCATAATTTTCAAGGGTGACAGTCACATGAAAACATGCCATTGTATAATTCTCACAATGCTCTACTTGTCATTACATTTGGAGCATTACCATCTATTTTTACTTAGCCAGGCAAAAATCCTTTGGGCTCTATCACAAGAAAGTACTAAAGCAAAATTTTAAACTTGATTTTTTGGTCTTAGAAAGATTTCTGCCTTATTAAATTTTTTTCACACAAACAGTTTCTACTTTGTCACGATCGTTTATAATGATGATGGCCAAGATTTAGACTCAGTAGAACCATTTTTTGACCTCAGCTATGTGTTACTCAAATGTAGAGAGCCTTAGGGAACTTGAGAAATATGACCAGTGGTTTCTGAAATCACAAAATAATATTATAAATAAATGAGAGTACATATTGCCTTACCTTAAATCTCTGAATCCGCTCTTTCCTAGCTAAGGTCTCCAGTTTCCTTTTTATTTCAAGCTGATGGTAACGCTAAGCATACAGGAAAGAATGAAGGAGAGAATCTTATTAATCATAGCAAAAAGAGTTTTAAGAGGAAAATAACCGCAATAGCCGACTATATTCTCAGTTATCCCTCTTGTCACTGAGATGGAGAAGAACCACCTGCATAAGTGTGCAGGTGGGAATATAAATTGGTACTGCTCTTCGAAAAGTCAGTTACAAATATATATCAGGCAGCTAAAAGTAGTCATGCCCTTTAAACATTTCACTCCTACACCTTGGGGGAAACTGAATAATAATTTTTAAATGTTGTATGCACAAAAATGCTACCCACAACATTGTTGTAAGTTTTCAAGAGAATGGTTAAATTTTTGGCATATCCCATAAGGGAGTAGGATATAACCACTGACATGGGAATTACAAGGATTTTGTTCTTAAAAATGGAAAATGCATATAATGCAAGAAAAAGTAGGATTCAAAATTGCACAGGAACACAGTTTAATTGATGAAAAAGCCATATCATGTAACTGTCCCTGTGCAAGAAGTTATTTTGCATTTGAGATAAACACTTTTGTGTATTTATTGGTCATTTGTACCTCTTCCTTCAAGAGTTGTCTCTTCAGTTCATTTACACATTTTTTCATTGGGCCACGTAGGGTTCTTTATATATTCTTAATATCAGTCCTCTGCCAAAAGAATGACTGGGAAAATTTTTTCCCCATTCTGCAGGTTGACTCTTCGATCTTCTGGTCATTTTCTTTGTGGTGCAGGAGTTTTTTAATTTGTTGTAATTCCATTTGTTGGTTCTTCATACTATTTCTTGTGCTCTTGGAATTCCAGGCGAGGAGTCTCTGCCTGTGCCTGTGGCTTCCAGGGCCCCCTTGTGTTTAATTACCAAGCAGTCCCATTCTAAAAACAAAGACACTGAGGCAGAAGATCATAAACTTGCCCCAGGTCATACATTCAATCAGTTACCGAACTGTAATCTGAATCTTGCTCTATCTGACATTAACTTCTTCTCATTTGTTCTTATTTTTTGTAATATCATGTCTTTTGCACAGCATAGCATGATTTTATTAATGCATAAACATGAAAAGATAAAACTACAAAACATATGATGATAGTAATCTCTGCAAATAGGAACTATCTGTGATTATTTTCCTTTGTGATACGTACTTTGTGTTTTCCAAAGTTGCTGTAATATATTGTTATAATTTAAAAATAAAACTGACATAGGAAGAATCTGCTTACAATTCAGATTGAAGTCATGGAGATGCATGTAAGGACATTTTATTTACTGACCCTTTGTGGGGGAAAGAAGTTTATTTTTCTGATTTTGATCCATTTCTGCCATCGTGGGCACCCTGAAGACTTGGTCATTCGCCACCTAAGTATCCTCAAGCCTCTTACTGACACATCCCTTTCCTTTTCCCCTTTCTCTGGTCTTTCACCCACTTATTACCAAACTTTATTAAATTCGCTATCAACCACTTTGCACCTTCCACTTACTCCTTACCAACACTACAGGTAGCCGGTCCTCTTCAGCACCACGGACAGCACTTTCCCTAAGGCCACCCTTGTCCTTGTGCTCTGGGTTAAACATCATTGCTCCTTTTCCGGGGATCCGTCTTCTTTAAGCATTCTCCCACTTGTAAGAACCTCCTGGCATCCCGGACACCATTCACTCAGGCATGTGTTTTCCTACTCAAAGGTTCTTCCCTGTCCTGGTGGGGTCCCTGTGCCCCAGAAGTACACCTACCCTAACCCAAGCTAGAAGCTTCAGAGTCACTCTGCCCTCTTTATTCTCCCTCACTCCGCCTTGTTCTGTTGCTTTAAGGCTTTCTTCATCTTCTGTGTCTCTGCAGACAGCTGCATCTCCCCGGAATTACCACTGCTGCTGCTAGCCCACACCCTTTGGCAACAGCTTCCTAATTGACCTCCCACCTCCAATCTTTTCCAGCTCATTAATCTATCTTCCACATTTTTAGCAACATCATCTTTCTAAAACAGTTCTGCTCATTTATTTCACTCCCCTGCTGGAAAACATTTCATCGCCTCATCACCTACACTTCAAACTAAGTTGGGAGTTTAAAGCTCTCCAGAAAGGGAGCTCCAACTTGTTGGATAGTGTCACTTCCTGTCTTTGCTCCCAACCAACCCGCTATGCAATCTGGGCTCAGTGAGCTTGCCTGTCCATTCACAAGGTATTGTAATTTCACAGCAGCTGTCTTCACTGTCCAGAAGGCCTGTCCTTAGTTTTCATGAGAATTCTCATTCATTTTTAAAGACGCATTTCAAATAGGATTTCTGTTCTGTTTGTTCTGACCCAACAGGGGAAGCCATCTTTCCCTCTTTTTCCTAACTACTTTGTATATGACTTTCTTCTAGCATTGGATCACTTCCTAAAGTGTTTTTAAAGATATATTTACAGCTGAAACATATAGCTTGATTTTGGCATATGGTAAGCCTGGAATTAATATGAATACTGTGATGGTTAAAATGTGGGGTTTTGGTTTTTTATTTTGTTTTGTGTTAGTTTTTGCAGTAGCAAGCATTGAACCCTTGCCACTGAGCTACATCCCCAGCCCATTTTTTAAAATTTTTTATTTTGAGGCAGGATCTCACGAAGTTGCCCAAGCTGGGCTTGAAATAGTGATTTCCCCCTACCTTCACCTCCCAGAGTATTGGATGACAGGTATGTGCCATGACACCAGGCTGACGGTTAATCTTGGTTGTCATCTAGATTGGCTTGAAAGACACCTAGGACATTAGTAAAACACACTTCTGGTGTGTCTGGGTGGCGTACAGAGGATGCCCTTGGGAACTAGGTCTGGTCCCTGGCCCATTCTTCTTTGGTTCTTTGGCAGCTTTCCTCTTCTGTGCCTTTTCACTGTGATGTTTTGCCTTGCCACAGGATGAAATGCCAGGAAACCAGCTGACTACAGACTGAAGTATCTGCAACCATGAGCCAAAATAAACCATTTTCTCCTTTAATTTGTGTATCTCAGGCCTTTTGTCCCAGCACCAGAAAGGTGATGAATACAAATACCAATGCAACAATTTTGATAAGCTGAATCACCATAGACCAAAGGGGAGACAAATGTGATAATTTATAGGGAAATATTGTTTGATCTAGGATATTAATATACGATACAAGTTATGTATCTCTTATCCAAAGTGGGTAGGACCACAGTGTCTCAGATTTCAGAGTTTTTCAGACGTTTTAAAAGAGTTACAGGGCTGGGGATTTAGCTCAGCAACAAAGTGCCTGCCTGGCAAGCACAAGGTCATGAGTTTGAATCCCGGTACCAGAAGAAAAAAATAAAAAAAAATAAAAGAGTTGCATAGACTTTCCTGGTTGAACATCTCTAACCTGAAAATTTGAAGTATCAAATATATCTAAATCCAAAACTTGGTAAGCATCATATCAGTGTTCAAGAAGTCTTGGATTGTGAAATATTTTTGATTTCATATTTTCAGATGAGGAATTCCCAACTTCTATATTGTCAAATATGTTTATTCCAAACTTTTAGACTTCTGAAGATCCTTAGATGATTTGATAGTGTGTCTAATAGTTCTGATCTGTCATAATGTGGCCAAAAAACAAAGTGAAAAGATCAAACTAATATCAAACTCAGTGCCTACTGCATACATTTGAAACAAGGTATAGACTGATTTGTGCTGTACTGTTTTTTAACAGAGTTGAACAATTCCAAATAATACTCTTATAAACAAGTGAATTGGGGGGGCATAAACAGTGATTCTATATAATCATGTATATGATATAAAGCAAAAAGAAATCTCTAAATTAATAGATCATATAATATACATATATCTTAAGTGAATACTCTACTTGATCAATATGACAGCGTTGTAAAAATATTTTCAGTGTTGACAATCTTAGTATTGGTCTACTGATGATTCTACAGTTGTTCATAAATGTTTACTGCATCCACAGGTCAGTGGTTTTATCAGCCAAGTTTTCTGATTTACTGCTGTATGGTCAAGCCAGGAAGTGGCACACTTTTTCACAGAGATTAAAATGGTGTTGATGCTGGAAGCCACAAGTTTCATGGAGCAAGGCTGAAATAATTTATCAAGTTAGCTAGATATCCCACTAAAAATGCCATGTCTGATAAAAAAAACAAAAAACGTTGTTGGTGCCTGGGCTGTAAATCTATGTTGACCAATGTGGCCTAAAGTAGGAGGGACAGCAGATGTTTCAATGCCTATTCCTTGAAACTTAACATACGGCTCAGCTTCGAAGCCTTAAAAGAATAACAGATCTGAAATAATTCATGGCAGTGGAATTACTGATATTTAAACAGATGTCACTTTTTTTTTTTAGCAAATGGAAATTAAAGTACAGATGGTGAGGGCTGGTATGTTTCAGAGTAGCCATTGTAGATTAAAAATCTACATTTAGAAAATTAAATATCACAAAATATACCATGATGTCCATATTTTTTCCCAAATGAAATAGAGAAAAGCTTAACTCTACTCTCTTGGTTATTGCCTACCTAGATAGAGAGTACTCCTTAAATCGCTGGGGTCTATTTACTTTTTCATGAAATACAGGATGAATTTTCTGCTCCTGGGTACAGAAGCATTATTAATTATCATATTATAAACTAACAATTATAAGGAAGATAATAAAAAAAATAGTTGTACCTCCATATCAAGAACCTTATGGAAAATGGCCTGGGCTAAGCACTCCCGAATATATCTTTGATGATCCCGCTTCATTATATTTAGTTTGTATTCTTTCTCAGAAAGAATTCTTCCACTTCTTGTGATCTGTAATCAACAAACATAGAAATACACAGTAGAAAATCAGTTGCTAGTCATCAAAAAGGGGAGGCAGAGAGAGAAAGACTGAGACAGAAAGAGAAAGCAGGGAGGTAGCAGAGACAGCGGCAGTATCTTCAAAGCTTAAGGGAGCACACCACTCCGGTGGATAAACTTTCTCTTCCAATGAATATTTCATAAGGCAAAAAGGAGAAAGGAAGTCTCAGATACCATCACTGTGAAAACACATACAGGTGGTGCACCTGACGTTTAAAAGGGTTTTCATTAGACGAACAATTTTCCCTTGATGGAACCCAGGTGTTCTTTTCATTTCTCTTTGTGAACAATTCTGGGAAGAAGTGGGCGCCAGGCTACCTTGAGAGGAGGAGCAGGAGCCCTGATCACAGGACTGATGAGCTCTCAGACAAGGCTTTGAAGAGCAAAACAGGCCAGCTACAGAGGGTCTCATCGGCTTGTTCTAAAAAATAATTGGTTTCATTACTTTGTTGTCCTACTGCTTTTTCTTCTACTCTGCAGCCCACAGTGTAATTTAATTTGTTGTGGTTTAGAATTTTACAGACGACACAGTACTTTAGATAGAAGGTATTCAATATTAGTCTCAATTCATATCACTGCATGCCCCAGGAGTACCAGTTTGTTTTTTATGTATTTTTCTTTGGCTCTTTCCTGTGGGCATTTTTGTGTATTTTTCTATATCTCCTGTAAACAACGGGTGTTATTCTTTCGATTGTCCACTTTTCCACTTATATAAGCTCCACTCTTCTTTTACAGTTAAGCCAAACCACATATTTATTCTTTATTTTGCTAACAGCAGTTTAAGTTTTTCAAAAATGTTAGTATTAAGATCAACCAGATGTGTGTTACAATTGCTATTGATAACTCATACATATATAAATCAATAGCATATATATATATAGTAGATCCATATACATTTTTTTCCAGTGAAAGAAAAGTATATATTATAAAAAGTGTGCTTAAAATGACAAATAACCCAGTTGCAGTCCTTAGAATTGTGACTGCCGTTCCATTGGCAGTTCACATGTATCCTTGTCATGTCTTCTCCAGACTCCGTCTGATTTCCCCAGTTAGACTAGAAGCTCCTACAGGGCAGAGGTTTTTAAACTTCAACCTGGATCAGAATCACTGGGAGAGCATGAGGGGGAGCAGATTGATGGGCCCCAGCCCATGGCTTCTGATTCAGTAGGTCTGGGGTAGCGCTTTTGAATTTGCATCCACTAACAAGTTCCCAGGTGAGGCTGAACGCTGCTGCTGAGGGTTATGTTTAAACCACTGCTCTAGAGAAACGGCCAAGTCTTCCTGACTTGAGATGCCAAGCACGTAACTGGAAGTCAGCAAGTGCTTGTCAATGATGATGATGAGTAAATACAAAGCCCTCCCCATTTCCACGTGAAGCTCAATGGACTCTTGCCCCTGGAAATCATTGTGAATAGTAGCCAGGATAACTCCATTTGATGCGCATCTCTAGTTGTCCTAACAATTCTGAGGGCTGAGCATCACGATCTTCATTTCACAATTGAGGAAGTTGTGGGTGAAAAAGTTAAGTAAGTGGTTTGCTCATGATTCTCTGTCTTGTTAATGGCAAGCCAGGTTTCAACCAGGTCTGTTGGATAACAAAGCCCCGGGAGACAGGAAGCAAGTGCTCTGAGATCTCTCCAGCTGGAGCACCAAGCACGTAACAATGAAAAACACAAGGTGTGTCCTCTCAACACCAAGGCAACAACTGTTAAGAAAATCCACTGTGTTTTGAGAGAGTAAGTAAATAGCTAACACTTTCTATAACCACACCCCTCTCTTTCAGGGGAAAGCCATAGCCATTTTTAAAACTTTCCGTATCATATACATTTAGAGGAATGGAAATGTGGGAAGGACAGATTTGAAGCTAATGAAAGATGCTAATGTCTCAATAAACTGTCACAGGAAATGAGAGCTGAAAAAAATTCAGGGGGAAATGTTGAACTGTTCATGTTTTCCCCATCATAGTCTGTGATTATTAAAAATAATATTTTCTTTCAAAGACAATAAAGTCTTCTCTGTCCTCATTCTCTAACAGTTTCTGGCTCCTAGAATGTGCCCAATAAACACATGTTGAATATATGAATGCACAAGCAAATGAACTATGCTGTGGAAAACTAGCAGAGACAGTTCCTCAATAATTTATGTTCCCTCAGTTGCCACTGTGACCTCTCTTCTCATCTTTTGAAATAGCCTCAAATAAATAAATCAGAACTTTGGAAAGGAAGTAATTTTTCTGAAATGAGTAGAAAAAAGATAGCGCCGACTAGCTCAAAGAGGAAACCTGAAAAGGTTGAGAATTATTCAACTTAAACAACCAGGTAGGTGGAAAAGAAAACAAACCTTACCAGCCCTGATCTTAAGAGATGCCTCCTTATCCTGGTATTGTTAAAATATCCAGCCAGGTGTTTATCGGTCAGGCTATTATACGCCGCTAGTAATCTGAAACGGAAAAATGAAGCCATTAAGGTTTTATGAACTGTTGCTTGCTAACCAAGGCAGTGGTTGACTTTCTTATCCCCAAGCTGTCCATAACCGCATGCTCATCCAGCCGGCTAGTTATCAGTGTATGTGTTTAATAACATTTACTGAGCACCTGCTATTTTCGAGGTTTTATAGCAATAACTGGGAGGTCGTCCTGACTTTGGTTATCTTGCAGACAAATACAGAATTGAAGAATGAGCAATTAAATTAGGGTGAGAAATTCGGTACTGGAAAAGTACAAAAACTCACAAGAACCCAGGGAAGGGGATGCCAGCTCCGGCTGTCAGAAAAGCCTTCGAGATGGATGATGGACAAGGAGCAGCTCTTTCAGAGGGCTTCTCAACCTCTCATTGTGTACCCTAAACTCTGATACCTCGCGCTTCCCTGCTTCCCCTCCTCATCTTTTCTCAGATCCTCCAGACACAACGCAGTCCTTTGACTGCCAAGACCCATTCTTCAGCTGTCAGAGAGAAGGTGATGCACAAGCACCTCTCCTCAAAGCAAACGTCCCCTGATGTGCACCCAGCGCACTATAACACTTTCTCTTCCACTCTTCCTCCGGACCCGGAGCTGCACCTCACATCCCACAGTATGGAATTACTGTTTCTTGGTCACTTCTGTTCGCTTGGAAGTTCAGGAGCATGTGGGACTCTTGGTGTCCCTATTACTATTACCTGCTATGTCTCTAAATAATAACATGCCTAGTAAATGCAGATACAACTTTGGGATTTACTCTTACTGGCATAAGTTTTCACTTAAGTTTAAACTGTTTTTTTGAAGTATTAACATCCTCATGTATATCTAGATGATTTCACGAATTCTATAGCTAGCACCAAAACATTTTTAAAGGTATTGATTACCTTGAATTTAGGGCCTTTAAGAGATTACTAAGAGCCTGGTGCAGTGGTACATGCCTGTAATCTCACCACTCTGGCTGAAGAAGGAGGATCACAAGTTTGAGCCCAGCCTGAGCAATTTAGAAACTTAGTGAGACCCTGACTCAAAATGAAAACTGAGGAAAAAAAAAAAAAAAGAAAAGAGGCCAGGGATGTAATTCAGCATGAAGGACCTATGCTTAATCTTCAGCATCAAAAAAACCAAAAGAGTTTTTAAAAAGGACAATCTGGGGGCTGGGGATTTAGCTCAGTGGCACAGCACCTGCTTTGCAAGTCCGAGGTCATGAGTTCGATTCCCAGTACCAGGAAAAATAAAAAAATAAAAAATAATAAAAAGGACAATCTGGCTCCTTGATTACATACTGTCCCTTAGTAGATGATCAATCTCAGTCTATAAGTCAAAGCTGGAAGCTATTTTTCTTTCTAACTTTTTATTAATCATTCTGTACCTTAATTCTATACATACAGCTGGGGGTATAGCTCAGTGGTACAATGCTTGCCTAGCACGCATGAACCCTTGGCTTCAATCCCTAAGTACCAGTACAAAATAAAACAAACAAAAAACCTTATATGTAGATGTACATGCATTCATATACATAGATATTGATATATATATATATGGATACATTTTAATTGTATATGTGTCTATGTATATACATAGAGAGAGAAAAAACAAGCCAGCCTAAACACGGTCCTAAAGGAAACCAGTAAACCTATCTTTTACAGTATTTACAATGTTACTTACAACCAAGATTTACAATCTTTATGTTTTAGTGGCAGCTGATCCTTAACTTTCCCAGACCAGAGAGGGACTCATGTTATAGATTCAGGTCAATGTCATTAGCAATAATTTTGTTTTGCTGTTTGCACCACCTTAATTACGTGAGGGTGGTTTGGTGACCTTTTCCTGTCTCTTTTCTTCTTAGCAGCCCATCTCAAGAAAGCTCCATGCCGTCAAATGGTAAAGAAAATTTAACTTTGCCCACAAAGGAGACTGAAAGGCAGTTACAAGGCCCAGAAGCCAAGGTGCCACACGAGGGTTGCCGACATGAACAGCTGCAGAAACCATTATCTCCTCGGGTTATGTAAAAAGACAGCTGAAGAGCTTCACTAAGGCATCCCCGGATAATGCTCTGAAACCATCTTTTAAATGAACTGTCTTGATGTCCTATAGTTCATCAAAGGTTTCCTGTCTCCAAAAGGTCAACATTGTATCCCTTACCCTTTCTGAATCTCAGAATATCTTTTCAACTCCTTATTTCAGAAAGGTGAGCAGGTGTCTCTCAGTCCTAACAATCACGATTCCACAGTTCACAGATTCTTAAGATAAATCATTAGGGTGATATCATATATAGTCTTTTGTCTGTTTGCCAGACCCAGGATAAAAAAAAGTCAATAGTTTTGGAGTAGCTAGGAGTGTTAAAACCTTGAGTAAATGAAGTGGGGGCAAAAGTTAGGATAACTTAAGCCTCCCTCACTTTTCCTATTGACAGATTAAATATTCTTTCTTTCAATTCAGACACCTTAACTTTTTAAATATTTAGGGTCCTAATAACAATTCTTAGCCAGCTTTGGCGTTGGGTAACCTGAATTCTCTTCTACTCTCTCTGGCTCCAACTAGGTGAGTAAGTGTGCATAGTGAACCCTCCCCTGGCTCACTCTCACCCAAAGGCTGAGGAAGTCTAGGTGGAATCCTCTGCGAACATCAGTTCTCTCACCTTTTCATGGGTAGGACTGAACGTGGCCTCTTGACTGAGAAGTCATTTGTAAAGCAACCCTTTCCACAACTAGCACCACACAACTGGCCTGGGTATCCCAGACTTAGTTTTTCAGACAATATGTTTCAGTGGCCACTTTAGGTTAATATACTGATAATCAGAAATTGCACTAGGATAGATAGATAGATAGGAGATAGATTTGGCAATGTGATCAGTGCAAACATGTCCACTGTGCTCACACAAATGCCAGCTTTGTTCTGCCCATCAAGTGCACTTTATTAGGAAGACGGTTCAATCTCCTGTGAGCACAACTGTGGCCGACCTGATCCTTTGCGCCCCAGTCCTTATGCGGGCTTGTAGCCTCTCTGTATTCGCTCCATTCCAAGACCTTTACTCAACAAGCCACAGACATAGGTTATTAGAGCTTTTCCTGATAGTTCTGCCTTTGTCCTCTGCATTCACTGCCACCACTACCCCCATTTTTACTTTTCTTGCACCTGGCATAACTGTGGGGTTGATAAGGTCACCTGGTTCCGGGCTTGGTGACTGTGTACGTTCTGAACATGCCCTTCCTTTCTGTGTTACTTTCTGCATCTATGGTCAAAGCTGGCCTTCCTGGTCATACTGTCTGTGACCTAACCTACTCCACTGTGACCATACTACCCACAGGCCATATTACCCACACCTTGCACTACAATTGACTGGCCAGACTGGTCTAGTGTGGTTGCCAGGTCTCTGGGTGAGGAAACACCCATTCTCGGGCTGTGTGCACTTGGGAAACCAGTCCCCAAGGAAACAAAGCAATGCTTTCTATGCTGGTTCTTGTTTCCACCATTTCCAGACATGCCCACACCTCTCCAAGGCCTCACGCTGAGTCACTAGACATGCTGCCTTCCCAGCTGCAGCTTTTTAGCACTCAGTCTTTGAATGGTTGCCTCCCACCGTTGCAGAGTACATAAACAGTGCTCTATAGAGATAAAAGTCAGCAGTTCCTATCAGTTCCTCCATCTGGCCCCAAAAAGAGAGAGAGTCTGCCCCATAAAAACGCAAGTCAAAGGAGAGGCACTATAATTGTTATTAATCACACACATTTATTGAGTGCAGTATTCTTTAGATCATTCTGCAGAACACTACGGGTGCAGGAATGGCACAGATACTGCACTTACAAAGCTGCCAGTCTAATCAACATATGCACTGTGTGTACGTGTATGTGTGTGTGTGTGTGTGTGTGTGTGTGTGTGTGTGTGTGTACATGCACAGGTTCGATTTCTTCTTGTATCAGAGGAGAATTCATTCTGAGGATCTCTAGGTCAGACACTGTGCCCTGAGCAGGGGAAGGAGTATAATATCCATCTCCCACTCTGCATATTACAAAGCATATCCATTTTCATATTGTAATTTGATTTCTTTCAGGTCCTTGGAAGATGAGCAGTATTTGGTCATCACAGCTTTCTAGCTTCCTAAAATGAAAACACTCAAGTAAGGTTACTATTTGTTGTGAGTCAGTCCTAGGGAGCTCTGAGTGAGGTAACAGCTATTTGGGGACCATGCTTGATAGAGTCATTTTTTTCTGGCCAACAGTACCCTTTAGCCCCAACCTCCATGCCTAGACTGCTTGTCCCCACACTGTCTACCCTCTACCCTCATGGAAGAAAAGCAGTATAGCACCTAAGACAACAGCTCTGCTTCGGTCCACATCCACCATTTCTGGCTCCATGACCAGATGCAAGTGGTTACCTCCTTCCGCCTTAATCATTCTACCTTCCACAAAATACTGGGACACAAACACAACTCAGCCAAGTTCTGTGCCAGTGTACAAGGATTGCCTTTCTTCCAGTTTCTGATAACATTCACATGTTCTTCATTTCTATCTGAGGTTTCCTCAGAATGGGCTGACCCTTCCTATTTCTACTAACATCCTGTTTGTGATTATGTAATCTCTTCAAAGATGGAAGTTGTCTCTCCAGCTCCCCTCTTTCCATCCTGAGCCTTTCCCACCATCACTATTAAAACTCTCTTCATGGCAGTGTTGACTTTTTTCTACCATGAACTCAAAATCTTTTCAATCTCTACCCATGCCCCAGTTCCAAACTACACATATATATTTTTAGATATTTATCAGAGCAATACTCCTTTTCAATACCAATTCTATCTCAGTCTACTCAGACTGCTATAATATAATACCATGGCCCTGGTGGCTAAAAGAACAAACATATTTCCCAGTAGTTTTGAAACCTGGAAGTCTGAGATAAAAATGTCAGCATAATCAGGTTCTTGATGAAGACCCTCATCCTGGTTATTTCCTTATTGTATCCTCAAATGGCAGAGAACAAAGAGATAAATG